TATAGAAAATGTTGAGAAGCCCAAATTGCCCAAACTAGTTTGGGCTTTGAGAAAACAGTTTGGACCAGAAACCTTAATACTGCCATAAGAAGGAATAAATAATATTTTAACCAAATCAATAGATTTGTGTGAGATGTGGATTTTGATCTCACAACATGTAAAACTCTGCATTCTAGCTTCTGAGTTCAAATTTTATATTAACAAGTTAATTTTACTTGCTGAACAACTCTTATTTAATTCAACAAAGCTTTTTGTTATTTAAATATGAACATTAAACAACTAATTCGTTGTTATTCGTAATTAGTTTTGTCACCCGTAATTAATTTCATCACATATATCAGTCGCAGGACATTGCAGATCTACAGGGGGTCAAGTGTCACTCACTATAGTTGGCTTGGTCTAAAGACCTCCTAAATTTTGAGCAAATTTTAAAAGTATAGAAGTCATTTTCTGTCCTACCTTTTAAAAAAATAGCCTCATTAGTTGGTAAAATAGGTTTCTACTTTTAATGTAATGAAGAGATTTTCTCCAAAAAATTATTTATTGTAGAGTTCTATTCTTTTTTAAAACATGTACTTTACTATGCTCATGAGAAATTTGAGCACTATGATCATTGCTAAATTTAGACCAGTTTTTGTTCATCATTCCTAAATTTAGCCTAATACTCGACCATCATATCTAAATTTGGCAGTAAGGAAAATAGTTTTTTAACCAAAATCACGTGTAACCCTTTTTTAAAAATTTTTTTTGCATTTTTGAATTTTTTTGAGCGCGTGGCGCAGCAATAGGAGGTCTAGACCAAGCCAACCATATCTCATTTTTTTTACTAAATAAAAAGTGACTGATTTTTTCACCAGTTATAATCCTTATAATATAAATATATATTATGCAATAATCTCAATTTTTGTCAGAGGGCATTTAAGCTACCTTTTGCTAGAGAACCACCCATATATACTGATATATTAATATGTTGTGGTCACATGGGTTCTAAGCGATGATGAATTCTCTTTTACATTATTAATAAAAATTATCAATTAAATCATACAAATAATCTGTAATCGTAGCTCATCACTAGGATTTATATCCGCAGATAGTGTGCACATTACTGTATCGTATATTTCTTTTATTTCTTGACAATTGAAATTCTTTGTTAGTTTTACCAACCATAGAATGTGAAATCAGTAAACTCAAATCGCAATGTAACTTATACTCCTAGGACCCGTCCAATCGATGACAGCACGGAATAAGAAAGGAAACAAATTAATCATTGTCAAATCTGTTGGTAAACTTCAAAATTAAAGCCAATATCGTGAGTACTAATTAAAGTTGTTTTACAGAGATCAGAATTAATCCGTTTGTTATATGTTTCAAACTCAGATGATAGCATCGTTTAACGCTTTTTTATGCTTTGTAGGCGACACACCTTGATATTAATTAAAAGTCGACTTGTTTGCTCATGCTTGATATTGATATTTACCGCGATGCGATTTTTGTTTAAATATTACGCGCGTAACACTGATAGAAATGGTAAGGTGTGGAGTAAAATTGGTTCCTTTAACTAACGTTTTCTAAATATTTATACTTATCAAATTTTTGAAGCATCTTCTTAAGAGGAAAGTGTCGACTTTAAATCCCTCTTAAAGGCATTATTATATTGAATGTTTTCTCCAAATATGTTTACTTCTAATTTAATGAATATATTTGCAATGATATGTGCAGATTAGAGATGTTAATTTAATTCTAAAAAATACAACAATTATTAATCAATTTTTTGTTTCGTTTCAAAAAAAAGAACATGATCAATAAATAGACTCGAACTAAATCTGTTTCGTAACAAAGTGATTTGTTGTCCTTAATTGTGGTCAAGAAATGGATAAAACATTTCCTTGGAGACCTTGTTTAATTTTTATAGAATTTGTTTATTATAATTAACAATGTATTGCATGAACATGTTTGCTGGAATGCGGAAATACATTAACTGTTGCCAGTCACCATATCATGTTCACTGTATAAACTATTTAATAATCTTAAATTTGTTTGTTATAAGCATTATCTGTTGATATGGACAAAAAAAAAAAAAGATTTTTTACCAAGTCCAAGATTTTAGTCTTTTGAGTAACGCATGTTCTATTTGTTTAATATATAAAAAACTGTATTATTGATGAAGCAGCAAATATATAATTAATTATCAATGCGAATTAATTGTCAACGTTGACATGTATTATTTTGTGATACACATTTGTGGCTAAAAAGACTAAAAAGAAAAAAAATTTTTTTGACAAATTATAATAAAAAACACAAAAATGGAGAACATTTTAGATAAAAATGATGAATATTCAAAAAAAAGATGTATGTTTTATGAGGAATGTCCAACTTGTAATAGATATAATACTAATCAGGCATGGTGTCAATCATGTGATCCAAAGCTATTAACTGAAGGATGGACTAGTGGTAATGAAACATTAGATGAGTTGATT